AAGGAAGGAAGGAAGGAAGGAAGGAAGGAAGGAAGGAAGGAATATCTACAGCTTTCTTGTACCCATCCAGACCTTCCTAATTTTCCAAAATCCCAAAAACTTTCCCCAGGCCTGAACAGCGACTGACCCACTTCCTAAACCTGCTTTACCTTGGAGAATTCAAAAATTCCACAGCCTGCCAGCAGCTTCTAAGTTTGGGAACTCTGCTGTTCTTGGCCCGGGATTCCCTACGATAAAGTTTGGGACCCTCAGAGCTCCGATTTCAGATCGAGTCCTGAAACAACTCACATCTTGGGCGGCGTTCTGCTTCAGTTCTCCCGCGACGTAAGCGGACTCTTCCTCGGGGGCCGCTCCCAAGCGATACCCGCCTCCGGCAAAGGGCTGCCAGGGAGGAGGGAAAGGAAAAAGAAAAAAAGAGAGAGGAATGAACAAGAAGTCCGCCGGCCAGATTTTGGGAGGGGGGGAGGGCAGAAGAAGGCAAGGAGTCTTGCCCAGTTCTTCTCCATGAAGCTCGGTGGCTGTTTAAAGCTATTATCAGCCTTCAAGTTCCTCCATCCTATCCAAAAGATGATGATTATTTTTTATTATATAGGACAAAGCAATGTTCTTTCTGCTCTCCAAATTAAGCGCCGACTAACACGACTTCCAAAATACCAGGGATTTTTGTAAACCTTTCTTAGAAGTACCTGGATTTGGGTGGTTGTGTTTCTGACAGCCTAACAACATCCGTTAGGAGGTAGAATATAGATTAAATACGCTATGGCAGGAGAGTCTCCAAACTGGACAGCTTTAAGTCTTGTGGACTTCAACTCCCAGAATTCCTCCTCCAGCCCATGTTAGCTCAGGAAATCTGGGAGTTGAAGTCCACAAGTCTTAAACTTGCCACGTTTGGAGACCCCTTGCACTCTAGTGATCAATGCTTCCTATTCCTCTAACTCAAGGGTCTCCCAATGCGGCAGCTTTAAGATTTCTGGACTTCAGCTCCCAGAATTCCTCAGATAGCCATGCTAAGTCCACTAGTTGGGTCATGAAACATGTGCAAGAAAACAGCCAAGCTCAGAACACCAAGAACCACACAGTCCTCCTCCTCCTCTTCCCTCCCTCTCCAGTATCCCACTCCCCTCTAGCACTGATGTTACCTAGTTGGGTCATAAAACGTGTGCAAGAAAACAACCAAGCTCAGAGAGCACCAAGGACCCCACTGTCCTCCTCCTCCTCCTCCTCTCCCTCCTCTTCCTCCACTCTGCAAACCCCACTTCCTCCTAGCACTGATGATGTTCCTTAGTTGGGTCATGAAACTTCTGCAAGAAAACAGTCAAGCTTAGAGAGCCCTAAGGACCCAACAGTCCCCCTCCTCTTCCTCCTCCCCTCCTCCCCCCCCCCCGCCTCCCGCACAAGACCGCCCCCTTCTAGCACTGATAATTACCCAGTTGGGTAAAAAATGTTTGCAAGAAAACAACCACACTCAGGGATCACCAATAAAACTACAGTCCTCTTCTTCCTCCCTCCTGCTCCCCCTCTTCCTCTTTGCAAAACCCACTCCCTTCTAGCATGGATGAAGTTACCTAATTAGGTCACAAAATGTCTACAAGGAAAAAAACCAAATTCAGAGAACATCAAGGATTCCACCGAAAGAGAAAACCCAGATAACACCAGACAAATAATCAAGCAGAAAACAATACCTCAATCGAGGAATTACCAGGGGGGAAAACTACAGCCCTACCACTTTATATAGACAGAGGAAAAAACCCACCTCCTTCTAGCAATGATGATGTTGCCTAGTTGGGCTATAAAACGTGTGCAAGAAAACAACCAAGCTCAGAGAGCACCAAGGACCCCACTGTCCTCCTCCTCCTCCTCCCCCTATTCCTCCTCCTCCACTCAGCAAACCCTACTTCCTCCTAGCACTGATGATGTTACCTAGTTGGGCTACGAAACGTCTGCAAGAAAACAACCAAACTCAGAGAGCACCAAGGACCCCAAACATCCCCTCCCTCTGTGCCAAGCGTGGTTCTGTTTGAGGGAATCCTTAAGCCACTTGAAAGCAAATCAGCCCACCCACCCAAGACCCCTCAAAAGTATGGATTAGAGCCCTATCGAAGCGCTCCATCTCACCTTTGGCCTGCTGCCTTCCCCGGGGCTCTTAGCTGTCCTGTCGACGGCCACGGCCCCGTGTTCTTTGGCCCCCCGGAACAGATCTTCCACCAGCTCGTTCGAACTCTTCTTCCTCGGGGGGCCAACAATCTGCTGCCCGCTTCGTTCTGACCCACCGGCATAAAACCTGAATGAAAGAGAAGATTTGAAAGGAAGTCCTTGTCCGAGGGCAACGGTCAGCTTTGGAAGTCATCTTGAGACCAGATGCTCCCACGCTGCCACATTTTTGAGGGGGAATTTGTTGGGAGTGCATATAGTTAGAGATACTAATGTTCTTTTCCTAATTCAAGGTCATGTTATTTCTGCACATAAGTGAGAGGAAGTCTTAAGTTGGGATGGATGGTGATTGGGCCATGTGATGTGATGATGGGCGCAGGGGATGGATTTGTAGTTTTTACTTATTGCAAGGAAGTCCAGAACTTTCAGATTCGGGATTCCACAGATGTTCCAGTTAATATCCAAATAAATTTTTGAGAAGATGTCTGTCTTGGAGTTATTGGTTGGAGTGGAGGTTTGATGGAACGCTGACTTCAGAAGCACAGCATAGTGTTTTGCCAGCAAACCCAACAGCTGATATAACCGGCTGGCAGCCTGCGGAGACGGCAGCAGAGTCGGACACTGGGGAGGAACATGGGCCAGTCCTGGAGTCTGGGGAGGACTCGTCTGACACAGAGATGGGGCCAGGGCCACCTGGGCGTTATGTGCTGACTCCGGAGCCTCCAGAATCTCACATCAGTGAGGCAGAGGAACAGCGGGAGCCTGTTCCCAGTGTGCGCTTGCGCAGAGCTGCCAGAAGGCAAGAGCAGTTAAGACAAAAGGGGCGACTCGGGAGTAAGGCTGGGAGATGATTGGCCCCTCCCATAAGACATAAAGGAGGAGCAAAGGGAGAGGAGCCTTTGCAGGAAGCAACTTTGTTCGTTCTGGTCGGTTTAAACTTTGAAGCTCCATGTTGATTTAGTCTTGTACAGCTAATTGGCAATTTAGTCTTAGGCTGCATTTCAAGGAAGATAAAGGTGTGTGCTTATCAGACTTAACCTGAAGGACTTTGGCAGACTTCCATGGGACTATTTATCAAAGGAATACTCGCATTTAAATATTGGCAAATATTGTGTGTGTGTGTGTATGACACACACACAGAGTATACACATACATAATATAATTTTTGTCAATATTTAAATGCAAGTATGGATAAGGGGAATAAGGAAGATGATTTTTATCTGATATGACCCAGGGACTTTTTGGAGAATTTCCAGTTATGGCCGAACTGGGTATTTTAGAGGCCGGAGCCACATCTGTCCCTTTGTCTGTCCCTGGATTGCTTTTATGTGTAGTCCTCGACTTACAACCCACACAGGCTTTCCCAGTTCCTCCTTCCATCTGACCAGTGACCTACCTTTGTCCTTCCTCTTCCTCCTCCTCTTCCTCCTGAGCGTGAACGAGGTCACGGAACGACGTCACCCTGTGGTCGCTGGAGAAAGGAAAAGCAAGCATGAAATGAGTTTGCTGCTGCCACTTCCTCCGATGTGGTTTCTCTCCTCGGAATCTTTCAGGCTCTGACCAGGGTGAAAATACTTAAGACGCAGTTGTAAACCAGGAAGTGGACTTGCAACAGCCACCAAAAGGGTTACACAGGGTCACAGGGAAAATGAGCTGCCAATTGCATTCCAGGTCCAATCAAAGATTTATTATTTTCATCTCTAAATCCACTGATGGCACCTTCTGCATTCAGGTTTTTGGCCCAGTCTGCTAGATTTAAGGTTTTTCAAACTTTAAGAATGTTGGCTTCAATTCCCAAAACTCCCCAACCAGCAGGCTTTAAGATGGGTGGACTTCAACTCCCAGAATTCCCCAGCTAGCAAGGTTGTTAGGGATAACATTAGTTACCTAACTTAGTTTGAGTAGAATAATATATAAACTATGTTAGTGAGTTTAAGTGTATGTATCACTTTAAACTGTAAACCAAGTTTTTGGGTGCGGTTGTAAAATCACCATAAGAGGGAGCAAGAGAGCTCACTGTTTTCCCTGGCTTATACTGGATTGCTGACAATGAAGGATTGATGGTGATAAACTGCGTGTTTGCTGAAAGAAGAAAAGGGGTTTGATTTTTCTTCATATCTCTGACTGCAAAAGAGATATATCACTGGACTGATTGATTGTAAGTTTACTGACCTCTTTTTCGACACTGGACTTTGCAAACTGAATAACCCCCGGATGGACTGAACTTAGTGTATGATATATGGACTGTTTTGACTATGCTATAACTCTTGCTGGAATAAAAACTATTTAACTTGCACAGTGTATCTGTCTTACTGAGTGTAAGCTACAACAACGTTTTTATCTCACACATATCTGCCTGTCTGCTAGACTGCCGTTGCACGTTCTGCTAGGGTGTATATCCCTAACAAAGGTTTAAGATTATGGAGTTCAACTCCCAGAATTCCCCAGCC